CCTTCCCCCTTGCTCACCCGTCAGCAGCATCGGCAATCTTGCCTTGATCTTCAGAGTTGTCCCCAACATATTCATAATCTCAAATTTCCCCTGCACCAACAGGGAAGCAGCCCCCACAGCATCAACCACGCGGGTGCCCAGGTGCTTGTCATGAGTATTACCCCATCTTGGCCTGGCCACATGTCCCACTGCCCACATGAGGGTGCAGAGCTGGGAAGGGTGAGAGCCAGAGTGCTCTGGTTGAGGCTTCCCAGAGCCCCCCTATTGCCTGTTTTGCTTTGCTCTCACCCATCCCAGCCTCACTAGAACAGCTGGATCTAGAGATAGAGGGCCCAGCTGAGGGAACCTCAGTTTATGACCATCTGCGAAATGGGTAGAGTGGTCCCTGGTGACCTCACAGTTCCCAAACGTGTTCAAGTGATGAAGGCCCGGTGCCCTCGGCAGAATCCCCCAATCGAGGACATAGTTTTTAGTTCCTGCACGAACTTGGAGTCAGTTTACTAACCGAAAATGAATATATCAGAGGCATGCAGTCTCAGTCCACCAAAAACTAGGAATCTAGAAAACTCCAGAAGTCATATGTATGAAACATCCCTCCAAGTCCCTCTCCCAACCTCACTTTCCTCATCTATGAAATGGGCTCATTTGGTTTGTTCATTGGAGACCAGTTGCAGTACTGTCGGAGGCCCTGAGGTCAGCAGCAGCCACCTTCAAGCTGGTTGGGAGAATTCGAGACTGCGTTTGCTAAGCCCCACACGTAGCTAGGCCTGGCACAGACAGGCAAACTGAGGGGCGACCGTCATTGTGGCTACTTACTGTTATCCAGGGTCAGGGGTGCAGCTGGACAAACAGGGATGCCTGTGGGAAGGCACCGGCCAGCATCCCTGCCCCCACTCAATAAAGTCTGAGGCCCGGAGGGAGACAGGGAGGCAAAGTTGGGGCGGGGTGGAGGCAGGTATCAGTGGTCCGCATCTAGTGCCCGCTTTGCCCCCGACTGGCTGAGTGACCTGGGGGCCAGCTGTGCCTCTTTCTGGTCCTCGGTGCCCCATCTGTAATATAAGAGACTTGGCCTAGGTCTTTGGAGAAGGCCGAAAGAAAGGGGATGGGTGGGGCGACCAGGAGAAGAAGAAAGTTGGGAGAGCGTCTGGGCCTCAGAGTCCCTCCCTGAGAGGCAGAGGCTCATGCCTCCCACACCGGACCCCTCCAGTCTCGCTCATGCTCAGCATCCCGCCTGTACTGGCCTGAAGAGTGTCTCCCAACAAAGCAGGTCCAGCTGGAACCTGGGGCTGTAACCTATTTGGAAACTGGGTCTTGGCAGGTGCAAGCAGGTTAGGATCAGGTGCTATTGATTTAGGGTGGGCCCTAAATCCAATAGGACTGGTGTCCTTATAAAAAGGGGAATTTGGACCCAGAAACCCAGACACAGGGGAGAAAGCCACGTGAGGACGGAGGCAGAGACCGAGAGCTGCAGCTACAAGCCAAGGACCGCCACAGATTGCCGGCTACCACCAGAAGCTGGAAGAGGCCAGAAAGGATCCTCCCCTAGAGTCTTCAGAGAGAGCGTGGCCCTGCCAACACCTCAATTACAGACCTCTAGCCTCCAAAACTGTAAGAGAATAAATTTGGTATGGCAGCCACAGGAAACTAACACACCATCTAATGCTCAGAAGAGGTGGTCTGTGATCCAATTCCCCAAACGCAGGACACTGCGGCTCGGAGAGGGGCAATGACTCATCCAAGGCCACACAGCAAGCTATGGCATAGCCAGGTTTGCAATCAAAGAGTCCCTAGCCTGTTTAGCTTAGTGGTTAGAGCATTGGCCTGTGGACTGAAGGTTCCGGGCTTGATTCTGGCCAAGGGCACACACCTCAATTGCAGGCCTGATCCTTGGCCCTGGTCGGGGTGCTTGAGGAAGGCAACCAGTCAAGGTGTCTCTCTCACATCCATGTTTCTCTCTCTCTCCCTCCCATTCTCTCTGAAAAGCAATGGAAAAAAATATTCTCAGGTGAGGGTTGAAAAAAAGGAACCAAAGAGTGTCCATCCACTCAACCCCCTGCAATTTACAGATTATGACCTTGGACAATTTAATCTCCGAGCCTCAGTTTTCATCTTTATAAAGCTCAATAGATGTTAGCGGTTATTATTACCACTGTTAACACCAATGGGCAGCCCTAGCCTGGTAGCTCAGTTGGTTAGAGCATTGTCCCAATAAACCAAGGTTTCGGGTTCAATCCCCAGTCAGGGCGCATACAAGAAGCAACTAATGAATGCATAAAAAAGTGGAATAACAAGTTGATCTCTCTGTCTCTTTCTCCCTTTTTCTCTCTCTCTAAAATCAATAAAAATTTTAAATAAGAAAATTTAAAAACTATATCACTGATGAACAAACTAAGACTAGAGAGGGAAAGGCAGACTCAGCATAATAGTGGAGGAAGCAGAGAACTTGGATGCCAAAGGGCGCTGGAGACCAGCTGTCCAACTTCCTCACTATACAAATGGGGAAACTGAGGCCTGGAGAGGAGAGTAACATTCTTCCCCTTGCAACCCCATCTCCACTCAGGCAAAGATGTGGATGGCGGAGAAGCCAACATCCTCACCGACGTGGTGGCAGCTCCCAGAGGCAGCTCTTGGTGGCTGCCAGAGGCCTGGGCTCAGGGTCTCACCTCCAGTCCAGTTTATATCCTAGAATATTACGCATTAACTCCCCCAAGGCCATAAATAGGGACTTTGGGCCCTTCTTCCCAGGTACCCAGAACAAACAGACAGGAGACTGCTCAGCAGGCCCACCCCACCCAGCCCAGGGCATC